ATGATTGGGGTTCCTGGAATTCAATCAAAAAAGAATAGGAATGCATTCCCGCGTCATCGGGGCTCTTGGACCTCTACGAATTAAAAAATGAATAGGAATGCATTGAATATCTCGATTTTCAGGATTGGTCACCAACAAAATTTCTTTAAATCTAGTCCCTTTTCCCTACGAAATTCCACCTAACGGAAATCAGTCCCGGACGGCCAATTTTCCCAAAAATATGTTCTTTAAATCTGGTACCCTTTATAATTCTGATGCTCGGATTAGATGAATATATATATATATTCAAAGCCAGATTACAGCCAATCTTACCAAGCGCGCAATTACCCAATGTTTGGCTGCACGGCCTTCTAGAAAACCCTAAACCCTCTGGACCCTAAACCCCAACCCTTAAACCATGAACCCCAAACCCTAAACCCTATCAACCCTGAACCCCCATGGACCCAAAACCCCTAAACCCTCCTAAACCCCTAAACTCTAGACCCTAAACCCTAATCCCTAAATCCTCAAACCTACACCCTAAGTAGTAGTTTCCATTTTCTTTTCCATTATCCCAATATAACCCCAATATGCCTATAGAATCCTATAACCCTAAATAATAGTTTCCATTTTCTTTTCCATTATCCCCATATGACCTTTTAGGAAACATGGCTCCAAGAAGATCAAAGAGATGATCCGCGTTGGCCACCTGAACTCGGGGGCGATCGCAGGCCAAGACTTGATACGTGTAGTTTGGATAATAGGGTTTAGGGTTTAGGGTTTAGGGTTTAGGGTTTTAGGGTTTTAGGTGTTTAGGGGTTAGGGGTTTAGGGTTTCGGGTTTAGGGCTTATGGCTTAAGGTTTGGAGGGCCTAAAGTTTAGGGTTTCAGGGATCTTGGCAACCCGAAAGGTAATGTACATATTATAGGGGGGAGGTTGGAGGGTGTTGCAGGATGGAAGGAGTTTTTTTGGTAGGTAATAAAGGGTGTAATCTCTATGTACAAAATCCTTGTATACTATATTCCCTTATTCCCTACTAACCCCCAGTAAGATTACAAGCAAGAGGGTTACCCAGTACGTTTTGGGGTTCTACATCGCATTGGGCCAAACCCTCAACCCTACCCTCCGAACCCTGAACCCTAACCTTGGGAATGGAGAGACGGCAGGTTTTCACTTGAAAGTAGATTCCGCCATCGGGTTGAGGCTAAGTGGACCCCCCGCCCTGTAATCTTACTAGGGGTTAGTAGGGAATAAGGGAATGTAGTAGACAGGGGCTATGTAGGGATTATATTCCCAGATCCCCTACTAAACACCAAGAAGTAGTAGTAGTAGTAGTAGTGCTACTAGTAGTAGTAGTAGTAGTAGTACTAGTAGTACTAGTAGTAGTAGTAGTAGTAGCAGTAGTAGCAGCAGTAGCAGTAGCAGTAGGAGTAGTAGTAGTAGTAGTAGTAGCAGTAGTAGTAGTAGTAGTAGATAAGAGGACCCTAGTATGATCACAACTATACCTTAGAGTCACTTTGATTGGGTGGGGTTCCGGCTAACATTCAGGCCAAAGGCGTTGATCCTGAAAACGTACAAGAGCACGTAAACTCTAAACCCTAACGGAAGGCAAGCCAAGGCGGCTCGTATTGCTTGGGTGCTGCTCTACTATGTAGCGGTCTATGATAAGCGTACTATTCAGGAAAAAGATATTCCTAGTACAGTCGGAGTCCAACCGTTATATTCTTACTGGTGATTACACGCAGGGAATACATATGGGGTTGTAATCCCTAAGTAATCCCCATATAGACAAAATTCCTGTACCTCCTACTCGTCCCCAAAAAGTATCGGGTGGGTGGGGGGGCAGTCGTATGTTCATTTATAGCTCGCTCTTTGATTTTTGTTCGAACAGCGCAGGCTTCAAGGTTATCCAAGAGCTGCACAGAGATTTTGCACCACTGGCTGGGGATGATATATAACAAGTTTGATATGTGTGCTAAAGGCTTCCGCACACCTGTCCAGGGCATTGTAGGCCTCACTAAAAGGGTTGTCATAAACAAAGCTTCTGACCCATGATCGCCATTCCTGTTGTCATGATTGACAGAATCCTCCAAGGAACCATAAAGCTTCATTTCTCGACAGATGTTGGCAACCACCATGTCGTTCGTTGAGAGGTACCCACCAACAAGGTGGCAGCTTACTGCAGATGGTTACTTGAAGGTTTCAAATAATTATAGCCCAATTATACTTGTACTTTCAGCCCCATTACTTATAAGCCCCCTAAATTCCTAAACCCTGAACCCTAAAGAAAGTGACCCTGAACCTCCAAGTGGTCCATAGACGCTGAGACTGACTGCTCCAAAATGTTGCCTCTCAGTAGGGAATTCACGGTTTAGGTTCAAGGTTTAGGCCTTAGGCTGTTATATTTGTCCCAATTCTTCATACCTTGCTAACCAAGTAATCAAGACCCGCAACCCTTGCTCCTAGAATCTGCCGACCTCAGCTGTTAACCCTCTTTGAAACCTAGCCCCTGCACTGCATGGCATGAAAGGCGAATTGGCCATGTTGGGCATCTCACAGACCCGGTCAGCAGCCTCACTGCAATTTTTTATGGTAGGCCCGAGTCCTGCTGGGTTTCGCAGAGTGTGGGTCCCTTCAGGATCTGAAAAGGACCCCAGATTTTTTAGGTGGCATATGTTCACTGAGAACCCTGCAGACCTTAAACTCCAAACCACAAACGGTACAAACTTGAAACCCTGTAGTGAGAGGTTTTTACGAGCCCCGACCTCCCAAGCTAGGACCCTCTTATGGTAGTTATCAGGTCCTGATTTAGCAGCTTGGGGGTTACTGAAATCCTCCTATTGCCTACCAAAATCCTCACACCGTTCCGACTATGATAGTGCCTGATTACTTTTCCTCCAGGTTACCAAACCCCTAAACCCTAAACCCTAAACCCACCCTCATTGCACAAATTTGATTTATCTTCCATCCCGAGACCCCTTTTATCAGGCCCTACAATCCTTCTGTGTCCCTACAAGCTTTTTGGGGTGCCCCAAATCTTTTCTAGACCCTAAACCCTAAGCCCTAAACACTGAAGTCAGACAGTCTATACCCTAAGTCTATATAACCTACGTAATCCCAAATCCCCAAAGACTAAAGTTTACACAGCCTACTCCATGAAGCTTAAACTCTAAATCCTGAAGCCTATGCAGCCCAATCTCTAAACCCTACTCCCTAAGTCCTAAAATCTATACAGCTACTCCCTAAATCCTAACGTCTATACAGCCTAATCCCTGATCCTTACAGACTGCAGTCTATACAACCTGAACCTTAATCCCTAAACCCTAAAGTCTAAATTCTCAAGTCTATACAGCCCAATCCCTAGACCCTACTCCCTAAATCCTAAAGTCTATACAGCTAATCATTAAATACCAGAGTCTATACAGCCGAATCCCTACAACCCAAACCCTCAACCCTAAATCCTAAGCCCTAAGTCTCCCCTACCATTAAGGCCAGCATCCAAGCTTCAACGCTTTGCGTATTCTGGGAGGTGACCCAGGCCTTGGTAGTGGGTAGTGGGGTTTTTGGGAATAGGGTCCAGGCATGTGCGTGTGTTTATATATATATATGAGTCATAGTCTAAACTCCTTAAAGAGTGGTTATACAAGGGTTTAGAGAAAGGACTATTATGGAGGTCATAAAGGGAAATACTAGGTGCTTAGACTATGACATATATATATATATATCCCAGGGGTGTTGAGTAAGCCCTTGTTATACCTTTTTGGGTCCTAAGTTTCTTGATAACGATAAGCTATATTGAAAAAGGGTGACCTTTTTCGGCCTAGGTTACTGGGGATCCTAGATATATATATACACATATGCATGGGGTCAGGCATTTTCTGGCTTGGTTTAGGGTATCAGGGTTTGGGGCTTGCTGGCCCCTGACTCTTGCCTTCCGTACAGGTGGTCAAGGGAAAGTGGGATGGGGAGTATAAAGACCGTAGTGGGGGAATGTCTGAGGGGTTATATAGACGACATATGGATAGTTCGGTGATCCACTCCCCCACTCCCCCTCAAGCATCAGGAAGCTTATTCCACATTCTCATACAAATCTCATAACCCCTTCAACAGCACTGGTCCTGGCGGGGCCTTTGTTGGGATACGTGGAGGAAATCTCCAAACCTTAAACCAACACGATTGCCCCCATTTCCGTTCCCTGATGGGTGAGGGGCCAGATACAAAGCCCAGGTGCAGTTGAAACTAGGCATTCAACAAACTTTTGGAGCTAGAAGCATGGGCCCACATGGTGGGTCTGTTGCCTTCATGGGCAAAAAGTCCAGGGTTTTCATGGAGCCCTGGCGTTCTCGACAGAGGGGAGCCCTCGATGATACTCACCCCAAACAAGTTGTCCTTTGTCATTCGGCTCACCATAGAGGGCACCCTAATTTCTGTGATTTTCCCTGGTTTTTTTGTTCCCATATTGCGTTTGGACGGTTGCAGGAAAGGGCCATGACAATCTTGGATCACTTCCCGGAAGAGCGCCTTTGGCCCATGACATCTGGGAGGTTCTGAAGATGATCCTTGTTGGGTGTCGGCTTGTTGGGTGTCTGATTTCGGGGGCTTGAAGGGAAGGGCTGACAAAAGCTCCGCTGTTTGGAGTCCCTGGTTGCAATATAGGTGTGCTTTACGTGCAAGCTGGGTTGATACATGGAGTCTTCAGTCTGGGGGTGCGCCTTAGACTTTCGACCTTGATCTGCAGCTCTTGCATTTTAGTAGGTGCCATCGCTACCTTTCTATGGTGCTTCTGGTGCCCTTAGCCCGGAACCGTGTTATCCGGACTTCCACGCGCACTCCAAGCGTTCGAAGTTTCTTCCGAGTCTAGCTAGGCGACAGCTCTTCAGCAACGTCATCGTGCAGAACTTGGATCTGACTGTCAACGGCCGACTGATGAACCTCAACCTTTTCAAAAGTCACCGTGGCTGAAATTATAGGTTTGCTGTTGATCCAGATCCCAGACCCCTGAGAGGATCTAGAACATGGCGCTTCTTGTTCCGTACCATGTACCGGCATTGGGCACTTTACAGGGTCCAAGGGATTTTGAGTCCCAAGCCCTAAACCGTGCCACCTCCACACGGCTTGGGTTTAGGTTTTGGGGTTTAGGGTTGAGGGTTTTAGGGGTTTAATTAGGTTCAAAAAGCTTACCCCCCATTGCGTAGGCTGTGTTTGGACCGTTTTTTGAGTGCCAGGGTTGGGGATTGTGTGGACCCTATACCAAGCACCACAGGTTTAACGGGCCACAGATGGGCATACGCCTGGAGTTGGGCCTGTAGGGTTTTACGGCGAATTTCAAGGGTATCCAAAGTAGACTGAATCCAAATGTTAGCATTTTCAAGAAGCTGGACAGGTCAGTAACGTAGCATGCGCATTTCTACTTTTTGAACTTGGGGGGGCTTGTAATTAATTTTGAGCTTGTAGATGCAAGCGTCGCGAACTTGGGACTGAACCTTAGTGCATTGAGTGCAGATTTAGGCGTTGGGGCAACCAGGAGGGTCAATGGTGCACGCGCACAACAGGCAATGCCCCAAATGGGCTCTGGGATTTTCAGGCATTCCCACGGGTAAGAACTTATGATTTGTGGCGTTTTAAAACTTGGGTTCGTCTTGAAAACTCCAAGAAACTGCTTATGGACATCCCAGCATGGTAGTTTCCCTAGATAAGGGTACCCCACTGTAGACACCGAAATACGATAGTCCTTGCCCACGGGGAACCCCAAAAGGTACCCCTAATATTGGGAAACCTTGAGCCTTAAACCCTATATAGCCCCTACGTAAGAGTACGCGGTTTAGGGTTTAGGGTTTTTGGGAAAGCCTCATATGGACCCTGAACCCTAAACCCTGGAAACCCTCATATGGACACTTGCGCAACTTTGGTTCCAGCCAGCCAGGACTTCGTACTGTCAGTCCAGTCTAAGCCTTGGATGCCGCACAAAACTGACCCTGGGGATCCAAGTATACAAAAGATACCCTAGGGATGAAATGATATGGGCTTTAGGGTTGGGGTTTAGGATTATTACCCCAAGAATGGAAAATTACATGGAAAAGAACACTGAACATGAAATGGAAACTGGGGTTATGTAGAGGTTATATGGGGAACCAAATATATACATAATACCTACATTGGGCCCTAAAGTCTGTAAATATTACCAATATTGGGCTAGTTGGATCCCTAGGGCCACCAATCTCTCTGAGCCATCACCTGTGGACAGCCCTACAAAGCGGCAGTCCGTTTGGATCCTGCTGAATGGTTCTGGGAGGCTTCGACCGCAAGTTTCGCAATCTCCTTGCGTTGTACTGCGAGCGTAACGCCTTCTTCCCGGACCATGCTGCGACGCGTGAGGGGGAGACAGGGGACAAGCCTGCGCCCTAGACATAACCAAGGAATCCTATGAGTGTTACATGGTACAAAGTAGGCTTCTATTGTGAATGAGTAACTTTGCAATATGTTTTGGGGCGGTATCCCCTAAATAGGTACTTATAGGATCCTTTGGGATAGTGGTTTAGGTTTCCAGCAGGGTCGAAAATTGGGTCGAAGGATCTAGGGTTCAAGGGTAATGCCAGGGCATATAGAGTCAGAAAGCTAAGGGCCGTCATTGATATTATTTATGACAGTCGTTGACACTCCGTCTTCTTGTACTTCGTAGAGCCCTGTGGACGGGATTGACATGCAAACCAGTGCCCACCAAGAAGAGAGGTGGTGTAGGTCTTGTGGTTCCACGGTTCTTGAGATTAGGTAGAGGTGCGTTCCTTGCTGTACCTGATTTCGGGTTTGATTTGTCTGAGGCTCTCTCTTTGCGGGATCAGAGATGCAGGAGAGTTTTTCAACGATGTAAAGGCAGAGGATTTCAGCAGAATCCCTGAGCCACATGCCATGTAGTAGGGGCTTGCATACTTTCCAACATGGTGGTTTCCTTGTGTGGTTATGGTATAGCGTACCTTATGTAAACTTCCAAATTACGGCCTGCTGGGCAGTACGTCCTGAGTTTGGCCTATAATCCTTGGCGTGCTAAGCATTTCCAGTGATGGTCTCCAGGATGCCTTCTTTCCTTTACTGGAGAACCTTTCTCAGTTCCACATTTTCTGCTCCACTCCACGTCCGGAAGAATGCAGTGTTGAGCTATGAGAGTCTGTATATCCTTGCTGAAGTCTGAAGTAATTGTGCTTAAGCAGAGTGCTGAGTGATGAAGTTCTCCAAGCTATGTTGGCAAATATTGAGTGCCCTGACAGTAGTCGTTGAGAAGGATTCCTTCAACCCATCAGAGCTCCTGGAGTTGAAGCAAGGCATTCACGAGTTTCTCAGGACACCTTTGCTCCGGGAAGCTTGAAAACGCAAGCCATAATCCTTACTCCCTCACTAAGCCTGAATCCGTAGATCCCACTGGCACCTGTATGAACCTTCAATCCTGAAAGCATTCTAAGCCCTTACCGTCCAAAGCTTGACCCCAAGCCAGACCCTAAGCCTGAATCCTAATTGGAACCTCCATGTATCCTTCTTCTTACCTTTGGTTAGCCAGGAATGAAGGAACGGATCCTTAAAGTAGTCCCTAACCCACTATAGTAGTTTCTTTTTCTGTTCCGTTCCTTCATTGCCACTATCGTAGGGATCGTAGGGTGCTTACTGGTTGGTGCTCAGGTCATGATCGATCGTAGCTGGGAGGTTCCAGTACTCCCTTATCCGTATATAACCTAGATGAATCCTAACCTCCCTATTTTTAAACGCTATAGACCCTAAGCACTCAACCCTTAAAAGCTATAGACCCCAAACGCTCAGGCCTTATCTTGAAGCCCTGTAGACCCTAAACCCTATTCAACCTCTAGGCTGTGGATCATGAACTCCGGTCCCGCGATGCTGCAGAAAAGGGGCTTCAAGGCTTGCCGCCTCTTCTGCGCCTCTATCCGTCTAAGGATAACGTAGACCCCTAATTAATGGGAGTTTATATGGGGGTTATATAGGGATAATGGAAAAGAAAATGGAAGCTACTATTTAGGGTTTAGGGTTTAGGCTATAATGTGGACAGGTGATTAATAATTCCACTCCTTTTAAGGGCCTAAATATTAGGATCCCCATTATAGTCCCCATTCAGGGGAGGGGGTTTATTAATCAGGGGTCTGGGTTAGGGCTTAGTTCCTTACCCACCCCCCCAATATGGTATCAATATGTACTAGTCGAAGATTTGTTAAAAGCTAAGGCGGGAGGCCTATCGATAGGGCGCTAGGGTCTGAGCTTATGGGGTTGAGGGATTTAGGGCTTACAGAGTCTAGCACTTCTATGCTGTAGCTCTGAGAGGGTCCATAGGGTAGGGTTTGCGCTTTAGGGCTTCAGGGGGGTTTAGAGCTGGGTCTGATACTGTGCCGGGCTTGCACGGTTGAGCTGTTATCGGGCTTAGGGCTTATAGGGTTTTGGGCCTCTATCTAACTCCGGCTTCCCAATAATAGATCATCATCATATTTCGAACTTGCTCAACTAGACGCTGGATTCATGCGGGGATCTGAGAAGGCATGGTTTCGAGCTAATGATTCAGAGCTGAAGAAGTATGTGTTTTTACAGAGCACGTGTGCAATATTTGGGCTATAGTCTAAACTCCTTAAAGTGGATTACATAGGGGGTTCTTATAAGGGCTATTAACCCTAAACCCTAAACCAGGCAGATACCCGGAGTTTAGATTTTGGCTGATTTGAGGATTGGCGTTCAGGGTTTAAGATCTAGGCTCCATTGTTTAGGGTGTGGAAGGTTCTCCAAACTTGTTGACTTCTATGGGGTCCTTACTATAATATACGATCATCTTCTACAATATACCATAATCTACCATAGTACATTTAATGTACTGCCAGCTTTAACGGTAGTATTCTTGGGCCAGCTTCTAGGGTTTCACGTTTTCGTCGTGCGCTGAACCTCAAGCCCTTCCAGCTTCAAACACATATGAAAAAACCTGGCCTTCTGACCCACACCCAAAGCCTCATGTAAAGCTCTAGACCTAATTGGGAATTTCCCAAAATAGGGGGGGGCTTTTCGGGGGCCCCCATAATAAGGATTATAGTATATTGGGGTCCCCGTGCTTTGGGAAACTACCACTTAAGCCTGAAGCCCTGATGAGGGCGGGAGGGCAATCTTGCACAGGTCAAGATCTACACTCCTGGCACTCACTTTGGCTGCGAAAACATGCTTGGGTCCATGGGATGCATCGACAAATGAGCTACTTAAAAGGGGGTAATATAAGGGATTATGTATTTGAGTATTATAGGGGTTATTAAGGGGGATACTAGGACTTTAGACTATAGCTCAAGTGATGTTCTAGGGATTGCATGAGGTTTTGATTTTTCGAATGGAAAAGAAATTGGAAAATTAATTGGAAGGTGCGCAAAGGGATTTATAGGGGTTGTGTGTGGGGAGAACCCAAGTAATACCCAGTCAATATGCTATAGTCCCATAGCGCAACTCCCCCGGAGAACGCTAGACACTAGTATTTCATAAAAATGCCTAGCTAGCGCTGCATCTGGATATTCGCCAAACTCATGGTGACCTATTTAGAGCTCTACGAGGATTGTAGAGCGTTTTGAAGCTATTCAAGCTGAATGGTTTCAATTTGCGGCGCTTTCTTGAGGTCCGCGTTCTTGGAGGTTTTACATTGTTGCACTAATGCCTGGCACTAACGCGAAACCTTCGCTGCTCTGGATGAATCAGGGCTGCCAAGGCATTGCTTACAAGGGGTGCTTCTAAAGATAGAGCTTGGAGTTTCTTCGAGCAACTGTCTCGCCTTGCCGCAATCTTCAGTTGGAGAGGTAAGCAAACTTTGAGCAAGCAAACTAAATCACGGCATTCCTAATGATATCTGCTAAACACTAAGCCCCTAAAACCCTGTAGACCCGTCTAAAAGCCCAGTTGCCATTTCATTTTCCAACCGCTTGACTCTCCCAAGAGGAACATTTACCCTAAACGCATTATTCCTATAATGAACATTAAACGCGAAACTCATTCTTCCTAGAACGAACATGACACTCTAGACGCAGGATTCCTAAAATGAGCATGAAACTTTCAACCCCATAATATCCTTACTAGGCCCCTTTGCAACTCGGCCGCCAAACCCATAGTTTACATGAGTATGTCTCAAGTGAACATGGCTTCTACGATTCTTTGGTTTTCCTTGGGAAGCCATAGGGTTTAGGGGCTAGGGTTTAGGGTTAACCATAAGCCGATGCCCCCAAATTGTCATGCTGCCTCCTCATGAAAAGCCTGTAAAGCGATGGGTATCCATCGAGCGTTGTGGTAATCGCGCTTGTTGAAAAATCTGCACATGGCAGGGATCAGCATAAAATGTTGCATCTCAAGGAGAAAACACACAGTGTCGTCCGCCGCTCATATACACCCTTGGTCCCTGAGGAACCACTACTTAGATCAATCTGCACATGGCACTGCATATGAGGCTCTTGCCGGCTGGTCCTCACTGTTAACAACTTCTAGTAAGCAGGGAGTGAAATGTCGGCTCTGGGTGTGCTATTGGGATTCCTTGCTTCCCTCCTCATAAAAAGCAAAAAAATGTAGTCTCCCCTAAATAGGGGACCCCAATATAGAGCCTCAAATACAATAATCCTCATTTTTTGGAACCCCCGAAGGTCCCCCTAATATTGGGAAACCATCGAAAATGTTGATTCCCAGGCTGTCCCGTGCCTATATTGGTAGTCTGGTGGCGATGACCGTTTGCCACATGCTCTCGCTCTCTCGCACCTTAGCTTGGTGAGACTTGCAGAGGCACTAACGTCGTTCTAAGTATATACAGCTTCCTACTGGGTTGCTGTGAAGGAATTTAATTTGAGCTGCTATAGTGGGGAAACCATGCTAATACCCACTATGGTAACTTAGATTAAGTTCCTTAACAGCAACCCAGATTATGGTGACACTTGGGGTGTGGTTTTGAGCAGGCTCAGCGTGGGTGGCTTTAAGTCCGGGGCTGCAAGGGTTCTGAGAAGGTGCTGGCCTAAGAGTAAACACCTTGCAGTGTGCAAAGCTTGCCCTCCCCTAAAAAGGATATAGAGATTATACAGGGGTCCCTTTAAGGGAGACATAGGGATTATATGGGGGGTCCCTTTAAGGGGGCCATAGGGATTATACAGAGGTCCCTTTAAGGGTCCAAGTACCTAAATGGTATGTAACTTGAGCCCAAAGCACCTCTAGAGGAAGCCATCAAAGCCCAAATTATCTATTATTTGAGTACTTGGACCCACACCCCCTAAAGGATCCAAAAAATGGACACCCTCCTAATAATCTCCTTAGTTTCCTCACTGTAGTAATGGGTTCATATTGGGGGGGGCGGGGGTTCCATTTTTGGATCCTTGAGGGGGTCTGGGGACCCTTAGGGGTC